TGTCTTTTATGAAGGTGGAGGGATCGATATCCAGAGGATACGAGCCCCCACCACGACCGGCGGTGACTTGCTGCAAGTGCCTGCTTCCTTTTTCGTGCTTCCAGCCAACGTGGATTCGTCTGGTTAGGGGTTTGGACTGTTTTTGTGGCTCTGCTTCAGTCTTCTTCAGCCGTCTTGTCTTGACCATGTCCTTCAATTTTTGAACAACAGGTGACGTTCTTGTGCTCTCTAAACAATTAAAGGGGAATAAACAACATTTACAAACATAAAAACATAATTATTATGAAATACCTTACTTGAGTGTTAGTGAATGACAGTCTAAAGCATCCTGTAAAGTTGTGGCTTTCAAGTAAAGTGGTATTTGTATATGAATTTCAAACGCTGGTCGGCCGATCAGCGTTTGCAAATACTGGCTTATTTCAAATACTACCCCCCGAGTTACCATGGATCTCAATCGATATCAACTGTTAAAAACAAGTTATTTCTCTCTTTTCTTGTGGTAAACAATCATGTCCCATATGCAAGAAAATTGCAGGGATTGTTAACGAAACACTTGAAAGCAAACACAAACTTGATGCCATTTTTTCTTACCCCCACAAGAGTATTTTCAGAGTATTGTTTTTCGGCAAAAATGAACAATGCACAATTGAAAAGCCATTTATCTGAACTTTTTGTGGGCGGGGCGTTCAATAATTTTTTTATTTAATTCATTTATCAAGACTTTTTGCAATTCGTTGATCAATTTAACGTTCAAATTACATTAAAATAAACAACTTTGAAAAAACTTACTCTTTCGGGTGCGGGGACACTATTCATAATTAGGGGTTGGGCACAATAGACATTACAAAATAATACAACAATAATCAAAACTCATGTCATTTTGTTTTCTAATTTTGGCCTTAGCAATTTAAACAATCAATACAAAAACAAAATTCCGAATTGTATTTCAATTTTATGTTTATGGGAAGAGCAGTATATGCGTATACATTTGTATCATAAACTTTTATTTTACTGATTTCATAGAATAAACTTTTTAATATAGAGTTTTGGAAATTTTACTTTTCCGCTAAAAATAAAAAAAAAAATATCATCTAAAATTGAATAGAAACATTGGAGAGCTTTACATGTTTGTTTCTTTAATACTTAAAATCAAATTTGGGTTAGATTTGTTTTATTTATTTGTTTTATTGAAACGATAATAGTGCACAACTTACGAAGGATTTACTATAAATTTAAAGAACCCCCAAACATTGTGGTTTTCAACTCATAAATGTAATATTGATAAGCATAAAAAATAAACCGACACATGTAAATGCACATACTTTCAACCTCCTCCCTGCATCTCTGTTTAATTCGGACCTGATCCCCTATTTTGGTGACCCCGAGCTCTTCAAATTATGGATCAGATAGCTTGATAGCTTCCAAAGGTCCAACCTGGGGGAAAAATCAAAGAATGTTGGAAGATGAAGCAGTAATATCTGATGAACTGTTGCAAACGAAAGAAGGGCTTTAACTTAGCATCAACAACATTAGAAAGAATACATTTCCCAGTAGTCAAGAAAACTAATTAAAGCTGTCAGTGATGAGTTTTGAAGGCGAGGGAAAACACTATTTCAATTATCCCATCTTGGAATTATCTTTTCATTTTGGACTACACTGAAAAACGGGAAATTCACAAGAGCACAAGAAATTGGCACAAGAATAGCCAAAAGATTACAGATATCCAAAAAAAGTAACACACAAACAATGGAAACGACTATGAATTCTGTGACCATAATAATGAATAAATTGTATAAAATATATGCTTAGATATTTGTGTGTCTAATTAATATTGTCCACGTATTAGCATGCCATTCAATGAAGTAAAATATGAAAGCCATCTACTAATTTGTAGCCATATGATCAGATTATGCGATCAAAAATGTATTCATTTTAAAGATATGGACCCCCCAAAACACCATTCTTGTGCCATTCAACGAATTTCTTTTAGAGTTCGGGTCCATAATATCAACAAATATAACTGTGAAGATATATAATTTTTCTCTCAATATATAAAACTTGTGATAAGGCCTGGTCGATACTCTGCATTTACATATGTGCACAATGATACTTCAGCTAGATTTGCATCTAGGATGTCTAAACAAGTTTGTATCGGCGAGCTAAGGCAGGCAAAAACGTGTAAAGGCGCAATCCCGAGCAACAGAAGTATACAAAAGTCAAGAAATCAACAATCCCGGTCAAGTCAAGAAATCAACAATCCCGGTCAAGTCAAGAAATCAACAATCTCAATCAAGTCAAGAAATCAATAATCCTGGTGAAGTCAACAAATCAACAATGCAGGTCAAGTCAACAAATAAAGATCTATTAAAGACAGACAAACAAACAAACAAACAAGGAAAACTAAATAGCATTCAAATAACACTTTTTTGGGTCAAAATTAACTAGACAGAAATTCAATTGGAACTTAAACAGGTTTATTTTCAAACAGAAAAAAATAATTGTGCATATTCGGATGCTTATCGGGGTCAATATGACGAAGGAGCGTTTATAGTTTAGGCATATGGAAGACTGGGGTTAGTTGGAACCCGGTGTAAGTTGAAACATTTAGATTTTCTTCCACAGCTAGAATACATTTTATGAAATGCTGCTGTCTAGAGGTGTCCCTTAGCAACAGTTATCCACCATATTGTCTGCAGCACCAGTGCCACGGGAAAGGTAAGTTTGTTTGTGCACTTTCTGATTTAATTTTTCACCATTCAAAACAATTGTATTATCTTACTGTTTATAAATAAGAGTGACCAGTTTTTAAGTATTTTAGGCTCTAATACTGAGCTATACAAAATAAGTTTAAAAAGATATGATTGTAGTCCCTATTTTGCGTTGTAAGCTTGTAAATGTCACATGGGCCACTGGGGCTAGTTGAATGTTTCGATGGGGGCTAGTTGGAACATGTTCTAACATAATGATTACGAATGAAGTGCCCTTTGAATAAAAGTTAGACTCTATTTGTACAAAGACACACGATTACGATTTCATTGACCTTATCTCCAAGTTTTTATTTCTCTCTGATGAGGGCGCCATTCTCCAATCAATTCGTAAATTATTATCAAGCAACCGTACACACCATAATCGACCATAATTGGTCCATCCAAAAGACATAGTACGTAGGCCTATCAATATATATTTTTATAATCAACTCTTAAATTGTGATCCAATCAAAAATACATACTATTATCGATTTGCCCATAATCGGTGCATAGAAAGTAAATAGTATCAAATAATCTTCTCCCATCAATTTTTAATTATTATCCAATTATTATGCAGCTCGCCAACCAATTTCAGCATTCAAACAAGGTATTAAAAGGTAATGAATGGCTGCTTGCCAAATGGGTGATTTAGTGGACAAATAAGAAATAAGATCATATAAATTTAACCTGCATGTCTCTGATTACTGCACTGGGTACTCCCGAAGCTGAGGTTGGGACAGCCGAGCATTCGGCGGGTTGTTACTCCGCCGAGAGCCTCCGTGGTCCCCCGGGGGTTCCTGCCTCCCACGGCCCCCGGGAATGGCCCCGAGACAAAACCTGGCCACCAGCTGCACGGCCAAGCCCTGCGCAGAGGAAAAACCCATACAGTCTACATCGTATTATACAGGCCCACGTCAACATCCCCCTAATTCGCGCACAAACCAACCAACCAACCAATACTCATCCAGCCACAGTCAGCGCGCAGCCTACGCTATAATGAGGCGCAAGCGAAGTTTTGTTTGCAGGAAAAAAAACTCTCGCGCGTTTTGGAAGTTCGCGAGAAAAAACGAGTGTTCAGTAGTAGCCCTGCAAAAGCTGTGGGAAACCCGGTAGGTCACTGCTGAGCCGACATGGATTGGTAAGTGCATCGAATACGATTATAAGCATGAAATAAAAGTCGTTTTTACCCGTTTTTTCAAGTTTTTTGTATCAAAAAGGGCCTTCAAAGTGGGTTGTAATTCTCATACAATCGTTGTAAGGCCTCATAATTTTAAGTGCTCCTGACTGTTTCCGAAAATATACATTTAAACGGTGATGATATTCAGTGACATCGAGGTTTTTGCCATCGTTCCGTACCAATACAGTTTCTACGGGGTCGGAGCATTTATCCGATTTTTACATTTCTAAACTACGAGATTTCGTGTTTTGAGCGACGCATCGGCCATATGTGTGACGTCACGCCGTGTTGTTTTGCATGTATTTTCTTACATTGTAAAAAGTCGTCGTTTACTCGGCATAGCGTATGCTTAACTAGTTTCGTGATAAAACATTTTTAAACTTTGATTTTGGTTTTAGTGTGATGTAGGCATACTTAGTTAGACCTGATGGTTAGACCACACTTTCAACAGACTTAATTTCACAAAATTTAGATGTCTAGAAATTAAAAGCATGGAAAAATGTACTATATTTGTGTCTTGTTACTAGTTGTAAACACGAAGTGAGTTGCCACACTTCATGCACTTGTAGCTCTCCTCCGCCTCTCGTCATAAATAAATAAATTGTCTTACGTACAAGTTACATGTAACCATGACACAGTCTACAATGGTCTAGTATTTTCTTAGCCTGAAACTTTACCCCGTTGACATTGTCCGCACCATGGACATGATGGAACTGGAAGTGCGTGGCTATAAAATATTAAATCAAGCGTGCATAAGTTACATAGTTTGAAATGTTCCTTCATTATTTTTTTTTAAGTTACCAAGAGTCTAATGTACTAATGTACATCATTCAAGTTCAAGTACATTAAATAAATGTTATGTACATGTTGTGGGAATGCATATTGTATTATTTATTTTAATCATATATGGAACTCATAGTGGTGATAAGCTGAAATGCTACGTTAGAGTGGAGAAACAATAATTATTGAAAGGGAAGTTTTATTTTTTTGGATTTTTTGTTTGTTTGCAATTACCTTGGCACAACATAAACATACTTGTACATGATGGATGAACAAAATCCATATGTTTAATTTTATTGTGTTTGCTTTTGATTTTCATCACTACAGGCCCACCAGTCAAGATGACCTCCCCTTCTTCAGAGTTAACATCTTGGGGGACTCACTGACGAGGTATCTTCCAAAATATCTTGACAGTGAGTGGTTTCGAGCCGATGTGCTTACAAAGCCGGGTTGTACAGTGCCCCGGATGATAGCGACCCTGCAAGAACTTCACAAAAGTCGCACTGGTAGTGGAATGAAGCCACATGTTGTGGTTCTTCACATTGGCACCAACGATTTGTGTGACAGTTTTCTTCACAGAGATTTGAAGAACTTTGAAAAGTTGCTTCGTTTAGCGAAGGAAACATTTCCAGTTGCAAAAATTGTGTTGGATGGAGTTTTGCCCCGCATGGACTTTGATGACCTAAATGACAGGGCTTCCACCTTGAATGTACACCTTGCAAAGCTGTGCAGAAAATACGGTTGTACATTTATTGATCTTGAAGAGGACTTTCAGTCTATCTCTTTGTTTGCCTTTGATGGACTTCATCCGAGTCATGAAGGCAACAAGAGGTTGTCACAGGTCATCCAAGACAAGGTCACATCGCTACTGGTAAGAGTCATACCATGGTTCAACCGCTGTTCTGTTGCACCCTTCACTCCAAGGGAACTGCTACTTCTTGTGAGGAAGAAGAAGATCAAGAAGTCGAAGAAATCTAAATCTTCATTGGCTTCTTCAGCCCCAACAACGCCTCCGGGTCCACGTCCACCTTCACGGCCACCTTCACGTCCACCTTCACGTCCACCCCCACGCCCACGTCCACGCCCACCTCCACCGGAACCCAAATTCAAAAGCATGATAGTGGACACCGATGGCTTCAAGCTGGTTGGACGTAAAGGGGTCTGTCCATCACTTCACACCCTACATGTCCCTGTCATTCAACCCCTATGTATTCCTACGAAGATGAGGTACTGCAAGGTTGCCCCCGAGTCATCAGGTGTCCGTCCTCCGCAAGCACCAACGCCATATATACAGATGAAGAACGATGGCATTAAGAGGATGAAGATGCTAGCCCGGGCGAGGAAGAAGAGGAAAAGACATAACAAAAAGGTATAAAATTTAACAGTTTTTATTTTAGAGCCTCCTATAAGTGTTTCTTTTAAAAAAAAAAAATTCTATAAAATTTCCTTTTTAAAATTTTTTTTTTAGTGGCCCCACGTTTCGACCCAAGTAGAGAATTTCTCAAGGGGTTTTCAAACCTAGGTGAGAACCTTGTGAGAATCTCAGCTTCGCCACTGGTTTGGGGGCTCCTCCAAGATGACTTGAAAAGGAATATCTCTTTTTCTTCTTTGGGTATCGTTGTAACTTGTACATTGTAAAAAGTTATTTATCTTGACCAAGTAACTTAGAATATAATATATTCCCATTTCGGTTGCAGGTTGCATGGACAGTCCCGCCTTGCATGATGTTAGGAGTCAGTCTAGCAACTCCACCATTGCAGGGGTGAGGGAAAGAGTGAGGGATCGCCTTCCACGTCGACAGCCAGATAAAGTGCAATGTTCAAGGTGTGGCAGGGATGCATTTTCATTTACACAGGTATCCTCATTACAAAATGAGCAAGTTAAATTATGGTTGGAAACAAATGCTAAATTAAGTGACACTGACATCATTTGTAAAGCTTGTAAAATTTCTGTTACAAAAAAACTAAAGAATCCGCAATATACACCAGAAAAATCAAGAAAGAAAAAAAGGTTGCCTTGTGCTCTTGAAGATTTTGGTAAGTGCAATGCAACTTCTTCACACAACATGAACTGCCCTGAAGAAATATTTAATACTTGTTTTTCTGTCAATGCAACAACCGAGTCCATGGACGTCCCTCTTTGTAAAATACATTACAATTCCTTGTGGAAGTTCAGGTATGAAGGAAAATGTGGGGGTTGTTATGGGATTGTACGGCACGGGAAGAGGTATAGTTGTTCATCTATGGAAGGTGGACTCGGTGTTGCAACAAAAATTTTACAAGCGATTGCTGTTTGTCAAATACTGATTATCTTTGTCAATCGTGCTACGATTTAGTTTTTGTAAAAGTAACGGCATTACAGTCGTTACAGGACATGAAAGCATCTTTCCTCCAAAATATAAGTACCTGCAATGTCACTGAAGAAACTGGGATAACACAACAATGCCTGCTCAAAGTATCTATTTATGTTATTGACTCTTTCTTGGAGCATAAACCCATGCTGTTGGCCGACTTATATGAAATGTATACAGAGAATGTCAAAGCAGTTTTGACGGGCATTAAAGATATTGACATAAATTTTTGTTTGCGTACAGCTCGATGGCTATTAATTTCTTTGAAATGTACCTTTGGTGATTCACTTGATGTTCATCGGTTAGATGGAACCAAACACAGTACTCTTGTTCTGCATAATCATATTGATCTTAAAAAAGCCTTACACCAATTCTTGGCAAACAGTCGTTTACAACGGCTAAAAATGGAAGATCAAAAGAGTGAGTACAGCACTCAATCGTTGTCAGATGAATCAATTTCAGGTGTGTTCAAGGGCCACTCTAATGAAAACCTGGTCAAGTCATTGAAGTGCATTCTCCCAGAAGTTTATGCCAGGCTGAAGGTACAATCAAAGAGAATAACAGAGTTTTATAAGTGCAACATATTGAGTGTTGTTGACTTCAAATATGAAGAGTTATTGGGCATGATGGATCCTGTTGTTTTCAATTTGATTTGTTATTTAACAATGAGTGAGGAAGAACAGAAACATGTAGGAAATTTCCCCACTGACTCGTACTTGTTATCAAAAGGCCCTGGGAGCAATGCAAAAGTGCGCTTGAACAGACGCATCAACGTTATTCTCTTGATGCATTTTATTCTGAATGAGGGGAACAACTATCCATTTCACATAGTTTTAGCAAACTGTATACAGCGCTTATCTCATTCATCAAAATTGCTCCGATTGGCTAATCGAACAGGATTTTGTGTTTCCCGGGACACTCTGGATAGATTTTTAGAGGAAGTCAAACAGCAAAAATTAACAAGAAGTGCAATTTCATTTTCGAGTAAATCAGTATTTACCATTATATCAGTGGATAATATCGATGTTTTAGCTCCATATGCGGCAGTTGGCTCCCATGGTCAGCCTAGAAGTTGGCACGGAACTTCAATAATGTCTCAACAGCCAAAACCATCAGAAGCATTGTCAAGTATTGAAACATTGGTGAGAGATTCCTCTCAGTTTGAAACTATCAACATATTTGGGGATGGAGCTTGCCTGTATCGTTGTATTGCAGTGTTTGGTGATAATCAGTTGTTAAACTGTAAACGAAATTCTTTTGGGATACCAATCGAAAGACGTAACCAGCAACAAGAAGATATGCTGTCAGGCTTGATCAGAAAAGGTGTATGTGACATTCTAGACTTGCACATTGAAATTTTGGAGATGTTACCTGATATAGTCAAGCAACATCTTCTAGAGGTCGATAGGCATACATGCTATTCAAACTTTGCAGATCGTGTGAGGGATAACAGGAAAAAGGGCACATATGCAGGACATCTTGAAATTTGTGCAGTTTCATATGCTTTGCAGACCATAATCCAAGTATACCAGAAAACAGAAATTGGATTAAAAATGATTGCAAAGTATCCCACAGATTCATCATGTATCGCAAACAGCAATCACATTTGCATTTTTTACACTCCTAGCCAAGTGACTTTATGTGGGCACTTTGATTTGTTAATGATGGAATCTTGCAAGATAGGTCAAACTGATCTCTTTAATGAGGTTGCAATAGCAGATGGTTGTATATTTTCCAATACACAAACAAGTACATGTGGTTCAAGCTTTGGGGAACAGTTGAGTTTACTTCATTATTTCAGTAGTAATGATGATGTTATTGTGGAAAACATTGAACATACATTACCTGCTGATTTCCAATTTCAAGCCTTGAGTGGCTGTGACAATCAGAACATGTCTTCTTGGCATTTGACGTCTCCAGTTAGACACAAGTTGCGTAAACCTTCGACGAGGAGAAATGTGAGCAAGGAGTTCTCGGAGTTACTCATTCCCAAGGCATCTGAACTTGAAGCGCCAGTTTTCAAAACTTTCCTATTCAATCAGTTGTCACGTAATACATTTAATCTTGCCAATGTGGAACAAACTGAAACTTTAGTCCTTGGACAAGAGCTCTTCACATATGTAGTTCAACGATTTCCAAGTATATCAGAAAAGGTCAAGGAAAGTGTTCCTGGCTTGAAATGCAAATTGGCTCTATCCACAGAGCCTTTCTGTGAAAAATCTAGTTTCAATTATATGTATGTTTTGAATGATAAGGCAGATTGTGCTGAAACGCTAAAGAAAATGCTTGGAATGCTGTACACATCATTTGATGTTGGTAAACACATCAATCACTTGGTGATTGCAGGTGATGGTGCCACTGTAAAGTTGCTCTCAGAGATCAAATATGAATATGGGGATTCACTCGGATGGGTAATTCCTTATCTTGGGGATTGGCATTTGCTTAAAAATTTCCAGGAAGTCCTAATGAAAATCTATTGGGATGCTGGTCTCAAAGAGGTTGCCAAACAGACACACAAGCAAGGTACCTTGCAAAAGCTTCAAAATTGTGGAAGTTTTAGGATGACACACCGGTTCATAATGCAAGTGTATGAGGCCATTTATGCTTATCAGTTTAAAGTCTTCCTTGACCACAGACATGAACAGTGTCACACTTCTCACTCGTCATTGACTAATGAAGAAATTATAAGTTCTTTATGCGACATCATTAAACGAGAAGGGTTACACAAAAAGACGGAAACCCCAAATGATGTTGAGAATGAAAGTTTCAGTATTCATGTACTGCTAGCGGACTTTGACATTTTCTGCAAAGAAATGTGTGAGAAATATGAAACATTCAGATTTTGGCAAAGGTTCTTAAGACATGATTGTTTTTCATACGTACAGCTTTTTCTGGCAATTCGTCAAGGCAATTGGAATGGTAGATTAGCTGCTTTGAAAAGCATGGGTCATCTTTTCCATGCCTTTGATCGACATAATTATTCCCGTCTCATTCCTCTCCATTTAAGTCAAATGCATGCCCTACCAAAACCAGTACTAGAGCACTTTGAAAGAGGGGCATTTGTGTCTAGTATTGAAGGATTTTCATTTTCAAATGTCGCAATTGATGAAGCACACGAGATGCTTATAAACAAAGACTGCAAGAATGCACTTTCACATAGTCTCCCAACAGACATGGATAAAGTTTGTCAAACATTGGAGTACCAGTCAAAGTTGATAAATAACTTTGAAAACCAATTTAGTGATGTGAAATGTCAAACATATCAACGTGACCTGCTACCATCTGTCATTGCACATGAACTTGCCAATACCAAATTGTACTTCAACAAAATACAAGAGAGTGGTGTTTTCGATTCAGGTCAGTCACCGGTTTTGTTTCAAGCATTTTCGAATAAGGAGGCTTCCAAGCTCCAGCAATTCAATCTTCTTAATTTCAGAGATATTGGAAAAGAATCATTTGATCTGTACGTTCAATCCAACATTTTGAAAGACTCTAGCGTGGAGAAGCCGAAAATCCGGAAGAAAAATTTGCAAACTTTCACACCCAAAAAAATCACAAAAAGAAGTGTAAATTACATTGAAAAAGAAAAACGCTTAATAACCATGTGCTACAAACGTACCATAGCTCATTCACAAGAGACAAAACAGCCAATTGGAAAATTGTGCCAATTTTTAGAAACACCCAGATCAATTTGCACTGCTGAAGGCTTGCCATATAAGGGTTCTAAATCAGTGCTATATGACATGCTAAACAAACGTTACAGTGGCAATATTATCAGCAGTGCTCTGTCAATTTCAGAAAGCGATAAGGTAGTATTGATAGCTGAGGGTATGAACATAATATATACATCACCACTAAGTTATCAAAAAACCTTCTCTGAATATGCTGATATGTTATGTTTTCGTTGGGTGAAGCAATTTTTCAAAAAAGGCTACTCTGACGTGCGAATCTTATTTGATCAAGTAGATACACAGGGTACGTCCCCTAAATTGATCGAACGGGGTAGAAGAGATGGTAAACCACAAACAGACCTTGAGCCATACGATGACATACAAGACAACACTAAGCTTCCTGGTACCAAGTGGATGACATTTCTCAAAAATAGACAGAATAAAAGGCTCCTGTGCAGCTACATATCTAATAGATTTGTAAAGATAGTACCTGGTTTCCTAACCCACTCTGAACAGCGGTTTGTAACTTCTGGTGGATTTACTGCAAATTCTGAGTTCACTGGCATTATGATTACCATGAATGAGCAGACACCATACATGTTGAATAACCATGAAGAGTCTGACACCCAAATGTGGCTGCATGTCAAGGACTCACTTTGCTCCATTGTGCACATTTATTCTATTGATAGAGATATCGCCATGATTGGTCTTCCATTACCGATATTTGATAAAAGCATTATTATTCAGTTTCGTGCTAAGCCAGGCGACACAAAGTTCCTCCATCTAAACAAACTGAAGGATTGTCTTGTTAGAGATCCCGACCTTGCTGTTCTTGTTGAGAGTGGATGTAATGTTTCTAAAGTCATTCAAGTTCTCTTTATCTGTAGTGGCTGCGACTTTGTGTCTTTCTTTGCTCGCTTAGGAAAGCGTTCATTTTTCAACACTTTTTTCCAGTATGCATCTTTCATCTGTGGGAACTCGGATGGCGATGTACCTGGACAGTTATCAAATACAGACACCCAAAACAATTTTGAACAAGGTTTATTGGCTTTTTATCGTTTGGTGGGATGTGTGTATTTTTCAGCTTACAGAAGTTGTCTTCACAAGTACACTTCTCCAGTTGAACTTTATCGAAGCTTAGATACTCAATCAATATACACCCAACATTCAAAATTTGTGGAAGTAATTAGGAAGGCTACTTGGAAGGGTACCTATGAAGATGAGCTACTTCCATCTGATGCTGCCCTTCGCTTCCA